ATATATATATAAACAAAAATTTAAATGCTCTAGGGTTGTATTTACTTCGAAAGTTTTTTTTTGAGTTTTGGCTTCACATTAGATCATGAACATATCTTTTAAGTTTTTAGTCAAATCATATAATCATTTAGATCCTAAATCCTACACAAACAGCGAAACAATTTACAAACTTTTGACAGGATTTAGGATTTCTCGTACCAAATATCTTCAGAATTTAACACTTGCAAGCTTACTAAATTCAGATTTACATGATTTATCCTATTTGAGCTGCACCCCAATTGCAGCAATACAATCCCTTAGCAATAGCAGATATATATCATAAACACTAAGAGAATTCAAACTTGGGGATGGAGAATTGACTGCCAAAGCACAAACACGCACATTTCCACTGTGCCTGGAACTCTAGTCCTCACAATTGGGGCAAAAGCGCTCAACCAATCAGGCTAAGGAGGATGGTGACTCCTAAATCTTATTGCCCTCGTTTGATTTGTTTTATTAATATTTTATTTCATCTTCTTCTTAATGTAAAGATACAAGTTCCTCCGTTTTACATTGATAGATCAAAAACCCTCAAATAGACCTGTACACCATGTCCTGAATAGATCAAACCCTTGAACAGAATTTCCAGTGTTGATGATATAGATCGCATTCGAGATAATTAGTTCCTTAATAAGAAAACGCAGCAAGTATGCACAACAGATATTAATCAAAAAGAAAATGAGCGGGGTCGATAAGCATAAAACCCGTCATCTAGGGCTGCTCTGAAATGCTTGCCAGAGCTAGCATTGCGGAAGTGAAACACATTGGTTTTCGTAATAACCACTTTTTCCCTTCGGAACCACACCATCGGCGCCGAGGGTTAAGTAGAACTTGCGCAGCGAATCCGGCATTGATTCCGGCGACCTTCTCCGCTGAGATAAACAAAATGAGGATTGTGTGGGGAGGCAGAAAGAAAACCTACACTGCTATGGTGAGTAAGAAATTTGGAGAGGGTAGCACCACCTTCGTGGCGCAGCTCGCTGCCGCCAAATATTCGACAATACTGTATGGTTATTGTATAGGATTCTAGCGTGTATTATTTTTATATAATAAAAAAAATATAATTAAAAAAAAGCATAATCACATGATCACACAAATAAGGTTGTGAAAATAAGATCAGACATCAAATTAGAAGAAGAAAATGTTTCAAGTTTAATGGTTCAACTGGGTGATGTAGGCCTGTATGCCCTCACCCTCTCCCTTTTTTACGGGTATCCGAGTTTTCCTCAATTTTTATAGTTTGAAAATTGTGAAACGAATAATCTTTCAAATTTGTAGTATTTTGGGATGGTCTTGATCGACAGACCGTTAAACCATGATGGGTTGATTCCTTCTGGGTGGTTAATAAGAGGCGACATATTTTTGGATCGTTGATTTGGGGCAGATCGATTGACGCTCGAACAATGCAATGTGGTTGATCGGGTTGTGCCTCCCTTTGTATAAATCCAAGCGAGGGATTCTTAGCTTAGGTGGTGGCACTGCCTCTTTGATTTTACGAAGGAAAAGCCACTCTTTTGAGTGACGGGGTAGACACTCGCATCCATTCTTCCCAACATTCATTCTACGCAGACATGGTTGTGTGTGTTGGGACTCGTCTTATCCCTATGCTCATTGGTTGTTGACTTGGCCATTCAGAGTAGGTGGGTTCACCAAAGGGGGTTTTTGAGGACTGACCCCCATGAGGTTCTGCCTCCAAACGTGGCGGCTAGTTGTTCCTTTAGGTGATTGCCGCCTGAAAGATCTCAAACTGCTCCATCATGAGGGTCATTTGATCTTCTTAAGCCTGAACTTGCACATGGACGTCTGGCTGTGTGACGTCTTTGTTGGGTTCCATGCATGTTATTTCTCTTTAGGAAGTTTCTTCGTCATAGTTAGCTCCGCTACTTGTCTGGGGCATGTCCACGCTCACCACACAACTTTTTAGAATGTTAGATCCCATATTGTATTTTGTGAACATGTCTCGATAATTAGAGCAAAGTGAATGAGAAAAAATAGTGAGTAAGTCAATAATTTGCTCTAGAGAGAATTCGGAGGGGGGAGAGCGAGTCTCCCTTTCATTCGTATTTTTGTCTCTTATTTATAGCAGCGTATTATTTATAATTACAGGAAGGGGGAACAGTTATGAAGATCGTTCTTAATATGATTAATGCTCTAATTAATTTTACAATTTTTATAGTAGATTCATATTATAATTTAGTTTTAGCCATGACAATAATTGACTGAACCAACTTATCTGAGTTTGGCTAATTGAGATGACCTGCCGAGTAGAGACTAAGCTTTCCAAAGTATGTGTTGGTTGATCTAGACGCTCAGTCGTATGACGATCTCGCTCGCCACGAGTCAGTTAGCCAAATGCGGTCATGAGCTCTTGCGCACACTTCGAGCAATTAAGGTTACAGTCATGACCCTTTGAACGAACCCTTTGTCATAGCTTATCAACTAATCCTAATCGTGCAATCATTCATTTACTGGTCGCATGCTCCGATCATTATTTGGATCGACCAGTAGCTTTGAGATCCGTGCTGGTATTATTAATATATACACTATGGAGTAATTTTCGAGCAAGGCATCAATTCTCTATAAGTTCACACAATATTTCCCTCATATTTACATGTAAATATTTACATGTAAATCATCTTTCAAATCTACCTCAAGTGAAACCTAACAGAACACAAGTTATCTCAAAACAATTTTTACTTAAAAGAAAATATTTTAACATAAATCTACAGCTCTATCACATCAAATATCTGTTCACGAAAATAGCATAAAAACTGAATACTCATTGTCCATAACTAGATAAATTAAAATTAAATTTATTACATTTATTTTAATATTAATTTTAAGGTAAATTTACATATATAACACCCAATTTCTATGTATTTTTCTATCAAACACTCTCTTTTGCATCTAGACCGTTCAAATATTTCATCTCACATCAAAAATAATATAATTTAAACTTTCACATAATACACTGTATAGAACTGTCAAATTCACTCCCTTCTAGTTTCCATCTTCCACCCGACAAGCCGTTCCTGTTTACTCAATATTTTCTGTGAATAAAGATCCCCAACACACTCTTCCATTCTTCTTCTCCTCTCCCATCTCTTCAACACAAAAACCCTACTGCTTCCCACCAAACCGACACCCACCCCCTCGCCAAGCATTAACTACAATGTCTCTCCGCGCCGTCGCGGCCGCCGCCGCCGCCGCCACAACAGTCGTCATCTTCTTCCACCCCGTCACTGCAGCACATCACCCCGCCTCCTCTCCCTTCTCAATATCCATTCCTCCATCACATACCATCGCCTACCCTCCCTCCACTTCTTCGACAAAATCCCCCGCCGCATCACCAGCAAAACCCCTTTTCACTTCTCCCGCGAAATCGCCCGCCGCCCCCCCGCCGCATCGCCGGAGAAACCCCTTTTCACTTCTCCAGCGAAATCGCCCGCCGCATCACCGGCGAAATCCCTGTTTTCTTCACCAGCGAATTCACCAGCCGCATCGCCGGCGAAATCTTTGTTCACTTCTCCGGCGAAGTCCCCTGCTGCATCGCCGTCAAAATCATTTTTAACTTCTCCGGCGATTTCCCCTGCCGCATCACCGGCGAAATCCCTCGTCGCTTCTTCTACTCCAGCTAGTACACCAACACCAAATGCTTACCCGAGTCCACCTCCAACATCGCACTCGCCGATCGCACCCCCTATCGTCTCCCCGTCCTCCCCTCCACCTGCATTGTCTTCTCCGCCGTCGATCGTCCCCATTGCCTCCTCTCCGGTGACTACCGTGCCTCCTACGACGGCGGTCACGGTTCCCGCTGTCTCCCCGAACAAGCAGCCGAATGGTACGAAGGTGAGACCGCCGGTATTTTCTCCCGGCGCGGATATCGCCGCCTCTCCGGGGCCAAATAGTTCGTCCGACGAGAAGGTACGGCCTTCGACTCCTCATTCAGCTCTAGCATCTTTTATTCATGCTGGCTAACGTGCGCCGATGCAAGTATTGGCCATCTAAGTATAAAGTTTCTTGCAAAAAATAGTATTATTATATATATTTTTTTAACTCATAAAATTCAAAATTTTCATATCACATCATAAATACATAATAATTATTATGTGGTAAGAATGTAAATTTTTTTAAGGGATAATTACATAAAAAGCATACGAAACATTGCTATTTACAAATCATACACTTTGTAATTATTTGAACTATTAATTCGGTGTATTAATGACTGATATAATGTCCTGATTGTAATTGATTAATTATTTTAGGGTTTGAAAAATAGACTGTCCTTAGGCGTGATTGTGCGGTAATTTTACCTCGACAGTAACTTTACCTATCCTTAGGGCGCGGTGAAGGGCTCCCTACAGCGCACTTTAATACGACGTCCCGCAGTGTCACGTCTTTCTATTGGGTCGGACTTGAAAGTGATTTATTCATTGGGGTTCGGAGGCGTTTGGATTCCGCATGTGTCCCGATATTATGAAAGCGGTGTCAGGTTGGAGCATCCTGGCCGTTCGTTTGGAAATCGCTCGTGAATCACGCTGCAGTTTTTATAGAAGGAAAAGCGTGCGGCGCCTCGAGATTTTCTACGATTAGGGGGTTTTATATATATATATATAATATTGTGTAAAGTATAATTAAAAATGCAATTTAATTTAATTTATTATATAAAATATGATTATAATTAAATTTTAAAAAAAATATTTTTTATATTATCATATAAAAAAATAAAAAAATATAAATAAATTATATTTTTCATTTAAAACTCTTGAATGAGTTCATTAAGATGTTGACTATACAAATATAAATTATAAAAAATATTACATTCTTATTTAATAAAAATATATTTTTTGGAGAAAGTAAAAATGAAGTATAAAACAACAAAGAAAATGTTGAGCTTTGTTTTTCTTACTTGAATTAAAAATCATTGCTAAATTTTTTGAGTAAATTGAGCACTAGTTGAAGTTTATAAAAAAATGTTTGAAAAGTTTTTAATATTAAAAGTAATTTATAATTTATTATTTTAATTTGCTTAACATCAAATAAATTATTATATTCGTACGATTAAAAAAGGTTGGGGTGGAGTCCAACTCAAGCTGCTGCTACTCGGCTAATTATTTCAATTGGGCCAGGTCAACTGGGCCATGGGCCCATCTCCACCCATGAAATCTTGCACATCACATCCAAAATACCACAATTTTAGCTTTAAAAGATTGAAACACGCTTCATGCATAGGTAAATGTAAAAGTTAAAGATTGGGTGTTAGATATGTGCTTGGGCTATTTTGTGCTGATATTGATTAGAGTTCGAGTGAGTTGAGCTTGATTTGAACATCAATTTTTGAATTCCATCTATTTCAAAGATCAGCTGAACTCACCAAAACTTGAAATGAATCCATTTTGTTATGTTTAAAACTTATATGACCTGCTCAAAGTTATTGACACATTATCATTTTCAATCTCATTTGAGCTATCTTGAATTGAGTTGGGATAAAATAGCACATATATTATTATGTTTTAATTTTAGATGCTAAATATGTGTACATATAGGAGTAGAGTCATAAATTCTCTTAATTGGAGAATAAAACTAATGATTTCAAAAATTCCTGCAACTGGTTACAGAAGAATTAAGCTAATGCTTTATACATTAAAGTTGTGAGTGTTGGGATGGAAACTTGGGTTTCAGATGATTTATAGTCAAAATCAGACCACAAAAAAAAAAAAAAAAGAGATCACGCCGAGTATTTTAGAACAAAATATCAAACATAAACACGCAACAAATAAAAAATTTTACTATGTAAGAAGAAAAGTAAAGAAATTTACACACTCAGATTTTCTTTCTGTCCAATGAGATTTATAAAAATTTCGCTTCAAGTACCCTCTTGATTGCACAAGAGAAATCGTTGAAATCCACTTCATCGACTTTCATTGCTCCAAACGTAAACCGTCGGGAAGAGACGCCAAAACTATTGATTTTGAGATATTTGCAAAAATACTCTTGTATTTAAGAATATTTTATGATTCAAATGCAAAATGCAATACTTGGAGATCTGTGAGATATTTTAAAGATTGCATGAGTTGAAGTTTAGATATTCCCAAGTTATATAAATTTAGAACATCTATATGAGTCAACTATAGATGATTTTAAATTGTTACATATAACCTTTTTTTGAAACAAATTACCTCTCAAAGTCATATTTTAAAATCATATAATTTTTTTCAATTTATGCAAACTTATAAAATCATACCTGCATGGGCTCCAACTAAAATACCAAATGTTTTAACGAATAGCTTAGAAATGCTACGCCGGTTAAGATCAAACTCACACTCACATATTAATCAAATGGGTCGCCTTGTCTAAAGGGCAGGCCTGTAAGTTTCATCCAACTACTCTATTTTTCCTACTCTCAAGGACCGAAGTTGACGAATCTAGTAAAGTTAATAATAAACGTCCAAATCATAAAGATAAGAATTTACAAGTTCAAATCATTTAGTTTGTTTCTTTTTTTTATAAGGACAATAATTGATATGATTTATATCCTAAAAAGTCTAAACTAACAAACTCAAATACCCTTTAAACATAGATGTTTTAAATTTTTAATTGCCCGATAATGGTCGTGTTGTCTGAAAATTTTAATAATATGAATCAAATGCAAAATGTAACACTTGGAGATCCTTGAGAGTATTTTAAAGTTTGCATGAGTTAAAGTTTGGATATTCTCAAGTTGTGTAAATTTTGAACATTTATATGAGTCAGCTATGCATGATTTTAAATTATTGCATACATCCCTTTCTTGAAACAAAATCTCTCAAAATCATATTTCAAAATATCATATGTTACTCATAATTTAAATTTCTTTAAATTATACAAACATATAAAATCATAGCCGCATGGGGTGCAACTAAAATACAAAATGGTTTAACAAATAGCTTAGGAATGCTACGTGGGTTAAGACCAAACTACACTCACATAATTCATATTTTGAAAAAAAAAATTAATCAAATGGGTCATCTTGTTTAGATGGCAAGGCTGCAAGTTTCACTCAATTAGTCCAATTCTTCTACTCTCAAGGACTGAGGTTGACAAGTCTAGTGAAATTAATAATAATCGTCCAAATCATTAAGATAATAATTTACAAGTCTAAATCATCTTAGTTTAATTCTCTTTCTTGTTAAGATAGGAGTCGATATGACTTATATCCTAAAAAGCCTGAACTAGCAAACTCAGATGCTCTTTAAATATAAACGTTTTAAATGTTTAATTACCTGATGATGGTCGTGTTAACTGAAAATTTTCATTAGAGGAGTTAATTTCAAACCAACATTAAGTATAAGTTTCAATCCAATATTCAATTAAAATTAATCACTTAAAAGCTAAAAACAAAAATTCATTCATCATTAGCAATAGTTAGTCGAGGGTGACACTTTGATTGAGTTAAACTCATAAAAAATGAATGTCATATGAAATGTATCTCTATATTTACAATCGAAGAAATTGCATGACAGTAAAGTCGTGACCCGAGTCTTCTGTATGCGTGGTTCTATAGCTAAATGACACCACAAAGTAGCATATACGACTAGAGCTCTCTAACCCGATGATCATCATCAAATGACACCGTTATATTACATTCACGTCTACAGTCTTTATATTCTTCAATAGCTTTTTACTTTCTGAGTTGTAAAACATAAGAGTACAATTTATTGACATAAAGTCTTCTGTGAGTTAAGATCGATGTAAATTTATCTTCTTTGGCAAACATCATTTCCAGATCCACAAGAGTCCTTTAGATGATGTGAATCATGATTGCTGACAATGATTATTCAGTCAGGTTTAGTAGACTAACTCCTCTGACTTATTAAATCAGGGACAGCACTATGACCAGGAACGACGGAATCATAGGATCTTTGATCGGGTTTCGTCATTGTTTCTCCCGCCATCCGCTTGATATTTCTAATGACAAATTTTATAATTTAAAATATATCTCGACTGCTATTTTATGTTGATTATTCAATGTTAAATGATTAGCATTAGTCAAAAGTTCTCTGTCTTTGTCGGGAAGGGTAATTAAGCGTCTAGGGGGAATGGCAAACCTCAAATAAAAAACTCCCCTAAAAAAATGAGGGCGAAATCTCTAGGTAGCGTTTTCTCTACAATTCAATCTCACTTTTTAAAATTTAACCCTCCAAAGCTCTCTCAATAACAAATAAATAACAAAATATTTAGATTGTGACATTTATAACCCTTTTGGGATGATGAGTAGTTGAGGAGAATGCATTCTATCGAATGAGTTATTTTGCTTGGGGAGTGTGATTTTAACTGGGAAGACGTGCTCTTAAGGTAGGTGTACGTCGGTCGCTTGCTGTAAAGAAGTTTATATGGATTATGCTGCATTCATTTGGAGAGTCTTATTAGAAGGTAAACAATTGATCAATAAAGCCACAGTAAGAAGAGACTCAAGTCATAAATAATATTGTTGTTGAGCGTTGTTGAGTGTGTTTTTTTTGGATGATATGGCTATGTTTTCATTTGGTGACACCATTTTCTTCAAAAGTATAAGAACAACTGAGTTGATAAAGGTTGCTATGGTTCAAGAGAGAGTCATGAAAGGTAACACTGGTGTATTTGCCACTGCCACCAGCATGCATTATTTATTTTATTTTTTTTTGTGCAGATCGAAATTTGGTTTTCTATCATTGTATTGAACTGAATGACATATTGCCTTGCTTTATATACTCAGTTATCACGCAAAGGTTCAAACAAAATTGATCAAAATGTTCAATAAAGAGACATGATATCTATAATAATTGACTAACTCTTGAAACAGAAGCCTATTGGACCTTGTGAAATTACAAGTTTCTCGCTTAATAGAGCTAGTTTACATGTACAAGTGTTTTTGCTATCTTGAAATTGCATCTAAAATATAACCATGAGGATTTCAGTCTTCAATGCCACAAAGTTGATATGGATGTCTTGGACAGTAGGTCTGCTAGAAAAGTGTGATGATTGGTAAGCAAGTATGGGACAAACACCATTAACATGAGGGCCCTTGAGAATGTTAAATTGGTTACCAGCTTCTGATGAAAGCCAATAGCATCAAAGGTTGGGAGCAGTGGTTATCAATAGAAAGATGGTGCATTGAATGAGGTTATGCCTAAGTTGAAGAACGAAAAAATCTTATAACTAAACTTCTATTCATTAAAAATGGCAAAAAATCTTGTTGATGAGCACTTTGTTTGTCTTCTTGCCCGACAATGGTGGCGCTCTCTCTCCAAATACTCATTCACATATTTTCTCTAGTTTTGTGATGACTTCATAATCCCAATATTGTAATGATGAGATATATTTTGTGCTCGCGTACTGCTGGGGTTTTTTTTTAGTGTAGCAGCTTCATAGTGTACCATATCCTTATTTAGCCCTATTGGAGTTATCTCTCATGATAGCCCATCTTATGGCTTTTCAAAGAACGCTTCCTTATCTTCAATCAGGATAAGTATTTCAGTAAAATAGTAATGAGCTTATCATGTTCGATTAAAGCACCATTTATAAAATTAACACAAGTCTAACTTCCACTTGGTGAAATATATATATATATATATATATAAATTTTGATGTGTGTACACGATAGATCTTTAAAGATTTTTATTCAGATCACTGGATACAATATTTAAAAAACAATATACCAATTGGAATGGAAGAAATATTACCTAATAATATATCTAATCATTCAGATGATGAAAATTTTCAAGATTTGTAGGTTTACATGTGAAGTGTTTTCATCTACCTTATGGGTATAAAATAAGGTTTATTTTATTTTGAGATGTGATATTTCTAGAAGGGCAAACTCACATAATGAATTACATCTCCATAGTTGTGAACTCTTGAGAAACTCTCGATTAAAATATTGATTGGCGTTGCTCTAATTTTAAGCTTGGATTTTTATTGTTGGAGTTTCAAAAGTGAATTGATCCAAGTTTAGAATTTTGAAAAATTAAGCTCAAAGATTAGGATTTACAATCTAATGACAATGTGTCGTGGAAAGGCCCCCGGAAATGGGATTTGACTATCCAAAAGTTTACCCAAAAAATTTAAATAGATGATGGTTGAGGAAAGTTTGAGTCCAATTATAAGATGTAAAATTAAAATTTGAAGGTGAAAATTTTAATTTCGACGGAAATTGGAAAAATTCCTAAACTAAGGGTCGAGTCAGGCTGAAAAAATTTCTATATGCAAGATAGAATTTTAATTTCAATGTAAGCCTAAACTGTACAAAGAGCCTAAATTGGAGGACTAACATAGAATTTGAGAATAATGACCCCGATCAAAATGCCCTTGAATTCCATCATTCCCGGGTATGTTGGTTTTCTTCGATTGCAAACCAGCCTTATTGCTATAAAACAAGTGTGGCGAAGTACTGATGACTCACATAAATATATATGACGTATCAGTAGTATCTAGAATGGAGTTCCCATAGGGAACCAAATGAACCCTATAAAAATAAAAAAAAAAAAATTCTAGTTTACTATCGTCGGTCCTAACTTGAATGGTTCAAGTTTTTAAAGCTTAATAAAGTTTCTATCTTAATAATTTTTACTAAAGCAAGTCTAACCTAGCAATCCAAAGGAAATTTTTGAAGCTGTGAAAGACAAAGGTTAAGGAGTTAAAAATGAATTCGAGAAAGGTTTGGAAGAATGAACCTTTGGTGCAATAAGCATCCAAATCCAAATTAAAAAAGTGGGTCAAAATTAAATGAAGTTGGAGATGTGATTAAATATTGCTTAGAAAAGTGATTAGTTTCCTCGCCAAAGATGAAATGGTGTTGGTTCAACATCAAAAAGCAACTGATCACATACATGGTTGTTTTGAAAGAGAGGATGTATTTAATGAAGTTGCAGGCCATTTCTTCAAAGCTCAAAAAAATGACAAGTTGTTTGGATTTATCTGTTGTTGATCAGGAATTCTATGCTAGAAGTACCTTGAATTCTTGTAAAATCATTATTATTTGTAAAAATATGATGAATTGGCAAGTCAATAAAAAAAGAAAAAAGTTGACATGAAAATGAGAAAAACAAAACTATTTTAAAACAGATTTACGTAAAATATGTTTTTTATCTCAAACAACACAAGAAATGATCACGATTGGGTTTCATATTATGACATGTTTGGTTTGCTGAATAGGGAATGCAGTGTAATTAAAATATTTTGAAGTTGGAAGTAGATATAGAAATTTTTATTTTTATTTTTTGGTTGGAAGAAAAAAGAAATAATGTAAAATATATTCGGCAATAGCTGTGTCAGTAACCACTATCCTGGGCACCGACAACAAACCGCAGTGGTGATGGTGTGCGGCTGGCTGTGGCGGGCGATGGTGGCAACGACAACATGGTGCATTTTGTAGTGTACGTGGAAATCACCCAAATTGAACGAATTCGAAATACATCAATTTTGAACGGTGGACTAAATTCTTATACTCATCAAAATTTTATGTTGCATTCTGGTTATCTCTCTGCTAAATGCCTAAAAATTTTACAAACTTCTGCATTAGATTTACTTTGCACCACTATTTAAAAGAACCAAATAGCTCAATGCTTAGTCCCATATTGTTAGCACAGCACTAATGATTGCCAACTGGACATAACCCGACTACTTGCTTCATATATCAACTGTAATCATGTGCATTTATATTTACTGTGCTTTTATGTCTGCAGAGTGGAGCTGCAACTATAATGAAGATGGGAAGGCTTTGTTCAGTATTATTGGAGCTTCTGCTGCCCTTTGCCATATTGGCCTGAATCTCTATGTAAAATAACATAATAGAATAGAAGAGAGCACAGTAGAAGAGAAATGCTTTCTTTCAGTTCTCTTTACTGTTCTCCTTCCTTCTATTCTATCAGTTGTCCATTTCTTTCTTTTATTTTCTTGCTGTGGTTTATTTTTTTGGCCGAGCCAAAGAGTGAGACGTCGTTGGGGTTGTATTAGATATTATTTATATTGTACTGTTGTTTTTTGTTCTTCCAGTGCTGGCCAAATTGTTGCAGGGAGATTTACATGAGTGCCACTCAATTCTTATGCATTTACATTAATTTAACATTTTGAAGGTAAATGTATAAGGTGGCATGTATGTTTAAAAATTGAAATTTAGGGGTTATATATGTAAATACATATGAATTTAGAGGCAGAAATATGATTATATATAATTTTTTACCCATAGACTACTTGTCCAAGTGGTTAAATTGAGTTGTATGTTGGGAGTAACTACTCGAGATGATTGTTATTACCAATAAGAACACGTGTTTGTCAATCTTTAAAATTGCGGTATGATATTCATTTCACAATCTTTTCATAAATACATCATAGATGGAAATTATCAACCATTAAATATATTTTTTAATCAATTTTCTTTTTTGTATAAATGGAAAGTCAAACGAAGAGATGGACTCCACTGTCTTAGGGACCTCCCTTTCTCTAGAAATTTCTCGACTTCGTGAGGATCCCTCTCTAAAAGTTCTTATAGCTCGAAAATGAGTTTGATATTCAGGCTTATTGGAGTAGAAGTTCAATAAATAATCTCCGAGGCATCTTTTGGGTCTTAGGTCCATATTTATCTTCTACCTTTGTTCTATAAAAACATTATATTTATGTTGAATCTAAATTTATCATCTAGATCATGCCCAAAGCATTATGCATTGAGACTGAGGGAGAGAAAAAGAGCGAGAGCAAGTTCTTCGGGCTCTCTGATTTATTTTATATATTGAAAGAAGCTGTTATAAGAGAATGGGAGAGTGAGTTAAATAACTAAAAAACTCAAATGGCTAACCCTCCTTTTACATTAAAAAGATCATTTTATTTATAGATTATATAGGTATCTAGAAAATTACATCATTACCCATACAAATTATTATGTCTCTGGGAATTACAGATTATTATTGTCTTTATTGACACATTTTTCATATATCTACACATTTCCGTATGTCTGGCCCACCAAAAGAGATACAACTAATAGAGAGAATTATTATTAGCAACAAGAACACATGTTTGTCCATTTTTAAAAGCATCGCCATGTCACGGTCTTTTCATCGAGACGTCATAAATGGAAATCATACAATATTAAACATATATGTATATATGTACTTATCAATTTTTGTCTTTTTATAAAGTCAAAATGAAGCGATGAAGGACTCTGCTCTCTTAGAGCCCCATCCTCTCGAGAGTTTATGAAGCCGGGCAAAACAAGGGTATTCCTTAGACTGATACCCATTTTATATATTAAAAAAAGTTGTAACAAGCGAAGGGGAGAGCAATGCCTAAATGATTAAAACTCCCAAATGACTTGCCCCTCTTTTACATGAAAAAAGGTTATCCTATTTATATATCATAAGGGGCATCATTATACTCTGAGAGTTACTTGTTATTTTTGTCTTAATTCATATTTTTTCGTATATCCGACATCCTTTCATATGTGTGGCATCTTTTCATAGTTAGGTCCATCAGGCGATGTGGCCAGCCGCTCGGCTGGGGTGCGGTTGGTTTCTGCTACCGTCAATATTTTTATTTGGACATAAATTTTACCATATTATACGTACCCATAACCGATACGAGCCCCCATGTCCTAAAAGATTCAATAATTTGCATGTAAATCTCCTTTGAAAAAAATTTTAAATCTATGAATACTAGATAATCATTTGACATTTCCCACCATTATAATTTAACTATTTGACATTGGATTATTCAAATATCCTATTCCTTCACAACTAACACCTCTATATGACCATGAAATAATTTGTCATCATCAGGTCGGCCCCAATCATTTTTATAATACATATATATAACCCTAAACCTTAATATATTCGATTATAATACATATGAGCAGATAAACCTTAATCTATTCATCGAAATAGTTCTTACGCAGCCGTAGCCGCAGCTTAACTGCAGCTAATTATATTAGTTTAAGCCGACGGTAACAAAATAGTTTCTAATACCGAAAACCGTCACACCCACAATTAACCATCTCCCACGTAAGCCTACTGCTAACTGTTTTTTGTACGCGTGGCGGGATTTAACGCCCATCATGTCGTCAATGTCGCCGTGCCGGTGTTCCCGGTGCTTTTCACTATTTGTTTCTTGGATTCTTTATAAAGCTCCAAATCTTCGTCAGAAAAATGATTTCGTAATTAAAAAAAATGAGAAAATTATTTTTAATTAATTTATTTAAATTAAATCATCCAATTCTAATTTTAGAACTTATGGTATAAGTATAACTAAATTCATTATAGCATTAGGACAAAACTTTGATATGGGACATTTACATAAGAGCCGCCCAATTTCTATGTATTTACATGTCTAATATTTAATTTTTATTTGATGATGATTGCATCAAAATATCGAAGATGTACCAAATTCACAATAATTTGACCGTGACACTCATAAATGCATCGATATGATAATTTAAAAAATCACCCATTGTGCACTGTTATGTAATTATTGATTTTAGAGGCGATTACATGAAAGGGCACCCAAAATTAGGGGTGTAAACGAGCTCAGCTTGTGTTCGGCTTGTTTATATTTTGAGCTCAAAAAGTGTGTTCGTGTTCGGTTCTTTTACTTAGCGAGCCGAACACGACCCGTTCACGAACAAAGAGTCGTTTTGACAACCCTAATCACGTAGACATAAGATGTTAATGATTGTGACAAGATTTAAAATATTATTTTAATTTAATTTACTAATTTTAATTATATTTTCTTCATTAATGCTTTTAATTGATTATAAATTTTTGTAGCTTTGTAGTGAATTAAATTTTTTTAAAATACTGCTCATCAAATATAT